TGGGGGGCTCTCGGCCGGCCCCTCCGCGGGGAGCAGGGAAAGTGGCGTTTCCAGCACAGACCAGACAAGGCAACAAAATCTTTGGTATCAGACGTGATTTTCAAATCACAAAAATTGAAAACTCAAGTGAGGTAGCCTTTATTCTCGGGTTCTCACTAGAAATGTCTTTGCGGGCCTGTGGGCCTGTGGCATTTACTCTTTTTTTTTCTTTTCTTTTTTTTTTTCTTTCTTTTCCTTTTTTTCCCTTTTTTTTTTTTTTTCTGTGTGTTTTTCACTTCCCAAACCAAGGCCCCCTTCCTGGCTTTTCAGCCCTTGAATACTACTCGATGGGGTTCAGGAATCCACCACCATCGTCACCACGTCACGACAAGACAAGAAGAAACAACGTTAGGGGAAAAAATCAGTGGTGGGGAGCGGGGTCCTGGGGGGATGAGATTCGCTTTGCCATTAGTTTTTGGGTTGTGGTTGGCAAAATACGCTGTGGCACCTGCCCCTTCCCGCTCCTTCCCTCTCTCCATCCCTCTCTCCCGCCCTCTTTCCAGCGATAAATTGGTTTAGTTTGGTGTGACCGTGTCCAGTCTGACACCCCCAACCCCTCCACCGCCCACCTACCCCAGGAGCTCTTTGGTTAAAGACGTCCTCTAAACCCGCCGGTGACCGCGGCCGGTCAGGGCTTCGTGTGCAGGGGGTTTTTCTTTCTCTCTTTCATTCTTTTGTCCTTTCTTCCCTCTTTTTTTGGGGTGCTTTTTTTGGGTTTTATTTTTGGTGAACTCATACACTTTTTTTTTTTCCTTTTTTCCTTCTTTTCAACAAGGTGCCTTCCTGTTACACAACAGATCGCTCTCAAAGTAAAGTGAATCGAAGAAACTGTAGCGCTAGAACACAGATGGTACTATTTTACCCGCATAAATTCAATAGTGTCCCTTTTTTTTTTTTTTTTTTTGGTTGATGGTTGGTTTTGGAGGATTTTTTTTTCCTCGGGTGGTGGGGGAAGGAGGGGACCTTGCCTCCTCTCCATTCCCAAGCCTCTCCCAGTCCTTCCCTGCCCCCGGCGGCATCTCCTGCTCCTCCCGAGGACACCCTGGGCTGGCAAGGAGCCCGTGGGGCGGCTGGGACGAGGGCTGATTGTAAGGGTTTGGCCTCGTGATTGCTTTTTTATATGGCACAAGTCACCATTGAGAGCTCGGAGGAAACGATCATTTTGAAGCTAGTACCATTGCTCCAGAAATTTGCGTTTTAAGGCAGGTTGTTAATTGGCACAAAAAAAAAAAATCTGGCGTCTTTTTGGTAAGTTGCCGGTCTTTGCGTTGAGCTTGTTTGGTTGTGGTTTCTGTTGTTATTCCTTTTTTTGGGTTGGTTTTTTTTCCCTTTCGATCTCATCGGGGAGTTTTCCCCCTTCTCACACCCAGGGCTGGATTTCACCACCAGATCCCTCGGATTTTTCTTTTCCCACCGTACACCGACGTTGGTTCCCAGGAGGGAATTTTTTGTTGTTGTTGGGTGTTTTTGGTTTTGTAATTTCTTTGGTAACAAAGATGAAGGAGGGGGGTGGGAGGGGGCAATAGTGTGTGTCGAGGGGTGGATGGGGCGAGACACAAAGCCAACAAATCTGCTTTGTCTGAGTCCATTCCTCAACCGAAAAGTGAACCAGAAATCCAGCGGTGAATGGTGGAGCCAGTCACCAGGACAGATCAGATCCTTCGCTCCAAGTCTCTCCTCCCGTCTCCTTTCAAACAATTATTATTTTTAAATACCCGATTTCTGTAGCTAAAATGTGCTTCTTTGACCTGCTTGGGCGCCAGGCGACGCGGTGCAGCCGCGGCCCCCCTCCAGCCGCGGCGCTGGGGGATGCTCGGGCGTGCGGAAGCGGACGGCCACGGCGAGGCTTCTCCTTTGCCGTGGAGTTTCTCTGGGAGGGATCCGGGGACGGGTGCTCTCGTGGGTCAGGGTGCATGAATGCCCTCAACCAGGTTCTCAAAACCTTCGAGGGAGAGAAACGCCTGTGTGTCAATGGCAGAGAGAGGGTCTGGCTGCCTCGGGGAACCCCGCTGCACCTCAGGGGGGGAAAAAGCTTCAGCAGCCAGAGACCTGGCAGGATCCTGGGGTCACCCTCCAGGCACACGGGGAGCATTTTCCCTGCTTGTCCCCCTTTGAACCATGGGGGGTTTGACCCCGCTTCGGCAGGGTTGTGTCAGAGCCCACCCCATGACTCCACTTCTTGTATCTCCCCCACCTTTACCCCTCCACTGTGGGAGCCGTAAGGGTGGCTGTGGCAGAGATCAAGGTTGGTGGGGTGGTCAGGGGGTGCCCCTCTCCTCAAAGACCCTGGTGGGCAGGTGAAGACAAGGTTCTGTAGTCCCCGAGGACCAGGGATGCTTCCAAACAGCACCTCACCCTCTCCCTCCATCCCACATCATCCCTCGCTCCACAGGGGTTTCCTCCGAGCCCTCCCGGGGACGGAGCTGACCTGGTTTCAAACCCTTTCCCTGCTCCATGAGCTGGGAGGACGTGGCAGCAGGATGTGGCATGAGGCCCACGTCCAGGGGTGACACCCGGCTGAGGGTTTGGGAGGCTGATGGACCTGCAGCATCCAAAAGCACCCACCCCGGTCAACTCGGGGCACGTGTGTGAGTCTGGGGTTGGCTTTGTCATGAGGAGGATGTCCGGGAAGGGGCAGGGAGGGCTGGGGGACATCATGCTTTGGAGAAAGTGCTTGTAGAAGAAGAGGGGACTCCGGGGTTGGCGCCTGGCTCCTCCTGCCAGCGGTTCATACACCGCCGGCGGGCATTCATGAAGAAGTTGCTGACGGTGTTGAGCTCCAAGCCCAGCTGCTGCGAGATGGTCATCTGCATCTCCTTGGATGGGCGCTTGTTCTCCTTGAAGATGGCGATCAGGGTGCGGCGCTGGAGGTCCGTGAAGACCAGCCGCTGCTTCTTGGGCTGCAGGCTCCTGTCTTTCTGCTGCTCTTGCTCTTTGCGTTTGCAAGCTAGATGTTCAAAAGAGAGAATAGGGCCATTAATTGGTGCTCACCACCCTGGCCCGCTTGCAGGTTGCCTGAGTGCCTCCCAAAAACCAGGCCCTTCCCTCCAGTAAACCTGCTGCCTTTGTTGCCCACCACTCCCTAGGCTACCTCCCTCCTCTTCCTCCCTGTGCCTCCTGAGCGTCTGCCTCTTGCGACATCAGCATGAGAAAAGCCTGGGTGAAGCCCATCACCTCTTCAGATGCTCAGGAAAAGCCCAAGTCTCAGCATCTCCAGCTGACCCTGGGACCAGAGACCGAGGAAGCGCCTGGGCTGACTCTGCTCCCACAGCCTGGTTATTGGGACCTGCTCCATCCCTAAATTTTGGGGTCAACCATCAGCCTCCCTCCCTTGCTGCACTCTGGCGTGGTCTCCCTCGCCTTCTCATCACCCCTGGAGGAGTCAGGAAACTGGTGTCTCTTGGCCATCACGTCCAGCTGCCACCTCCGAAACACAGGGAAGGGCTGGGGACAGGGATGTTGTGAAAAGGCCGGTCTGCAGCCACCACGTCCCACGGCAGACAGCCTGGAAGGACCGTTCGTGGTTCCACCTTCTCTGGGAAGGGGTTTTCCTGCTTCCGGAGGCTGGAACAGCCTGAACCACCAGGAAGGTCAGCCTCCCCTGCGTGCCTTTGCTACCGGATCCTCTAGCACACGTGTCAGGTTGAGTCAGCACCGAATTAAAACCCTTCCCTACAGATTTGGCTTGAGCGGTAGGTCAGGACAGAGGTGCCGTCACACAGGCACAGGCTGCCCGGAGCCAGGAAAGGCCCCCTGACACCGCCACGCTGCGTGCAAGCGAGGGAGGGAGGTGAGTACGCACCTTTTGTTAAATATATGAATTTTTAATTGCAGGAATATTAAGCGTGCTGTTGGTGGAAGGGGTGAGAAGAGGAGCCCTTTGCTATGATATTTTTCTAGAAAATCATAGAATAGCTGAGGTTGATGGAGGTTGCTGGTCCAGTTCCTTACTCAAAGCAGGGACGACCTTGAAGCTGTCAAGGTTAGAGCAGGGCACTCAGGGACTTCGCTAGGTCAGGACTTGGCCAGGCATGTGCAGGCACTGCGGGAGTGCAAGATGCCCACGGGCAAGGCAGGGTACGGATCTGGCCCTCCAAGGCTGGGGACACACCATTTCCTCCTGGAAAGCTCAGAAAAGAGTCAGGAAACCGTGGGCTAAAGACTTTCCAAGGAAAGCCCCACTCTTGCCCCAAACAGCGGCAGTTTTCAGTCTTTGGGGTTTCTTGGTTCGGATCTTCCAAAGGATTTTGCAGGGAGGGCGCAGGTCCTTTGAGACATTCACTGTCGGAACATTGCTGGATGACAGATTTCAACTTTCTTCTCTCAGGCACTTCCAGGAACCTCTTTGACCTGGTGCAGAGACCTTGGAGTGGCCAGAGGCCAAGGCCGAAAGCCACTGCCGCCACGATGGGACAGCATCTTGGGTCCACGGGACAGGTATTCCCCTCAGGCTAACTACCTGCCTGCGATACAAAATGCACCTCCACGGCCAGGCTGAGTAAAAGGGCAGGCAGCCATGTAGCCCAGGAGAAACGGGAGGGTGTTTGAAGTCACTTCATCCTCACTAGAGAACAAGGAAGGTCTTCCTCTGATTCTTCTTCAGCTGGCCTGCACTATGAGTCCTCTTTCTATCACCTTGAACTAACAGAGAAGGATGATATCCACCCCTTCCACCCAAAACTGGGGAGATCTAGAGCTCAGTGAAGCAGATAATTTATCCGACAAATTTAGCCTTGTTCCCCCAGCTGCTGGGCTCGGTCCTCGCCCCGTCCCCATGCCGGTGGTGGGAGCCATCAGTTCTGCTCCCGCCGGGGCAGGGGACAGGAGGCACCAAGCTGGGCACAACCGACCACGCTCAGTCAAAATCAGCCGTCCCTGGTAAGGACGGTTAGTGGCGAGCCTTCCCCTCCCCTTCTCCCTCCCAGGCAGGTTTGGCTGCACGCCACCATCCTTAGGGACAAGGGCCAGTCTGAGCCCTGGTGGTGCCGGGGGACCCTGTCCCGGGGGTACCTTACTCAAACAGCCAGCAGAGAATGGTTTAGTGGAAACCTACCCTATGACCATCAGATGCTTGCAAAAAGAACAAACAGAAAAAACCTTTATAGAAAATTTGACTTTTTTCCAGACATGTACGTGCACATTTGGAGCAGCATGTCTTCACCCTGCCGGACCCCTCGCCCGCCTGCCGCGCACCCTCCCGGCGCCCCCCCGGCACGCTCGGCCCTGGCCCCGGGCCAGTGGCGCGGGTGGGACCCCGTGTCGATGGTGGGCACCTCGCACGCTCCCTGTGAGCGCCTGCTCTGCCTGGATGGCACTTATACTATCTTCCTCTACCACATATACACCAGGTACATACAGATGTGTGTAGGTACGTGTAAATACATCCATACCCCATGGGACACGCGGGGTGATGTGCTGACCCAGCTGTAACCCCAGCAAAGCCACTGGGATCCAGGTTATCCTCTTGCTCTCCTGCCTGCTGGCACCCAGTCCCACCAGCGGTGCTGGCCAGCCAGCCTGAGACCCAGCGTTTCAGCTTTTCAACCTCGCATTCCTACCCCCCCCCCCAATTCAATTTTTAGGAGTAATCACTACAAACTAGTCGCCCAGTAACAACTCAAAGCTCTGAGGCAAACACTTGGGTCTTGCTGGTAAAACTGTGATCCAGCATTTAAACGGGAGCCGAGTATTGCTTAGCCAGAGGTGACACCCTGCTCCGCACCCCTTGATACCCCCGTTATTTTTGGCCTGCAACGCCAGCGGTGGACGCATCCCACATTTCCTGTGCTCGTTTGTTTATTTATTAATTTCTTTTTCTGCTGACACAGCCCAACACCCCTCTTCCCCAGTTCAATCTAATTACAGCTCCGCACAACAGAAATCGATAGTGACGCTGGTCAGATCTATTTACGGCAGCCATCAACCCCCCAACGGAGGATCTTTTTCCTATTCCCCATCCCCCAGGCGCTGCTTTCCCAGGCAGGCTGGCGGTGGCCATCCCTGCGTCCCCGCAGGCGATGGGAGCCGGAGACGGGGAGGGCAGCCGGGGGCACGGCTCTGACTCCCACCTGGGTCAGCATCGGGTGAGGGTTTTTCCTTTGTGCTTCAAAATCCCTTTTTTCCCCCAAGTCCCAAGATCCAAACGACCCATCCTTGGCTTAACGCTGTTCTTTGGCCAGGTTTCTCCGGGGTCTCTGAGCCTGGCCGCAGTCGGTGGGGATGGGGACACACTCCAGGGCACTTCCACCCCTGCCTCTGTGGTATCTCCCCAGCAAATGCCCAAAGCATGGGATTTATTCCCCGGCTTGTCCTGCTCCCCACTCCTCCTGGGGCACAGGAGACCCTGGTGGTACCAGGACCAACAGTGGGAGAGAAGGACCGGGGTCCCCCGTGGCCAGGGGGGATGCTCCGATGGCCAGCAAGGGGTTGAGCTCACCCACAGTGGAGGTCTTTCTCTCCTCTCTCCGTCTCTCCCCAGCTCATTTCACGACACCTGCACCTCCGAGACCCCCACGGCTCCGCCAGCCCTGGCTGAAACCAGCCCACAAGTGCAGGAGCAACAAGGAGGCAACGCCAGACGCAGCGGGATGGGGTGATCGCATGGACCCCCTTCCTCCTGGACACCGGGCACACAACCCTAGCGGTATTTCGTCCCTAAGGTAGCTGACCTGGCTGCGGAAAAACCACAGGGAGCAAAGGAAGGAGGAACCTCGGGCGGAAAAGCAGGAGGAAAGACCTCTGAAAGCAGCGGCATCCCACCCGCTTCCCCCAGAGGATTTCTGCTGAGGGTTTCTGCCTCCCTGGAGACTTATGTCAGAGGGAGCGTGTTTTCCTTGACTTAACCTTGACAGCTCAAAGCAAAATATCTCCCAAATCATCTCTAAAGGGACATAATAGAGACAATCAAATGGCTGCTGTTCAGAAGCTGCGATTATGCCTCGCAGCGTGAACTCCGCGAAGCATTTAACTAATACCTGATGGCTTTGCAGGCTTCCACAGCCTGCGAGACGCTGGTTTCTCTATTATACCCGCAAACCCCTGTTTTCTCAGCCCCAGCGTGCTCTCCCTCTCCATTCACTTGCAATACAACCTGTAATTTTCTGCCCACTTTGCTTAAGTGCTGGTGATTTGTTGAAATCACAAAAGACAGCCAGGGGCTTTCAGAGCCAGCATGCTGGCTGTAAGCGAGGTTGGGGGGGGGAAAACCGACCAGCTTTTCTCTTTTTCTCCCTGTCAAATCGGCTCGCAGCGGTGCAAGGGGACCCAGGAGCATTTCGGGGCTCCAAGGGAGGTGGAGGAAGGGATGGAGAGGGGGTACCTGGATGCGGTCGGCCAGGTCAGGGCAGGTTTCGTCGGTGCAGAGGTGGGACGGGCTCGTTTCACTGGTGGGCATCAGGTGGGAAATGGCCCTGAGCAAAGCTGGCTTCTCTCCATGCCTTCAAGATGGGTCTAGCCCCTGGGCTGCCTCAGTTTCCCTCTCTCTTCGAAGGAGCAGAGGGATCTCAACCTGTTTCACAGAGAAGGGGGGCCTGGGTGTAGGGTTGTGCAATGGGTGTTACTGGTTTAGACCCTGCCCTGATATTCTGGAAGGTTTTGGGAGCTGCAGCTCTGAGCAAACTGGGATGAGCCCAGCACCTCCCAGAGCAGAGCAGTGTCTGATCCTGAGCTGAATTAACCTCATGGCATCTGCTCCCCCAACGCTGGAGCAGAGTCTGGACCGGGGATCGGGGACTTCATCTGCAAAACAGAAATCCTTTGGTCCACAGCTGGACCCGCCGGGATGCTCAGAACTGGGGCAACTTAGTAACCGCAAGAGGTTTGTTTGACTTTTTTTTACATTGTAGGAAAAGAGCCCGAAGAGATTTGTCACAAATAGACTTCTCCAGGGGAAATTTGGGTCTTCTCTAGCTGGGAAGACTCAGTGCTGACGAGACAGTCAGCAGTGTA